ACCAAACCCGTTGATAGCCGTACGGACGGATACTCAAGTTTTTTTTAACTGTCACCCGGGGTACGGAGCCCTTCATAATTTTGTTGTATTCTGGTTCATCAATTTCACACTTTCTTAGAATTACACTTCACAAAAAAGTTTTTGTTATAGCACAAATAAATACAAATAATTTGTTGTCGTCGGCCTGGCAGGAAATTTGTGAAGTTTTATTTTATTCATTAGTAATAATCAAAGGATTATTCTTATACAGCCATGTCTCAAGTTTGATCAGAAAAATCAAATCCATTATTTTAAGCCTTCAGTCAATTGTTATAAAAAATTTGCCCTATTTTTTTTGATTTGGAATTAATATTGTTTATTTCGAGAAACTCACACCAATAAATGTTTGTGTAGATTAATTATTCATTTATTTTTGTAAAACCGAATATTTTCCCTTTAGAACAGATATGAAGTATTTTTTTTATACTTTTAAATATTTGATTATTACACGAAAGTTGTACGAGAATAATGAATATTAATAACCCCTTATTAATATTCACTATTCTCATGATTAATAAACTAACATTTTAATGTTACGGGTTATTGGAAATAACTATACATATTAAGGGCGGTTTCTTTACAATACTTCTTGTCATTTGACGCGTATCGAGATTGAATTCAACTATTCGAATTCGTTATTGGTTGTAAAAACTAAATCAGTTTCAATTGCACCAGTAATGGTGCAGTTCAACGGTGCATTTAGTAGGTACAACGACAAACAAAACAAACTATTGGACTATGCAAATGAGTTGCGTTTTGCCATGAATTGGAATAAATAATTATCGTTATTGTTGTAGAGTCAAGACCATCTATCAGTAAAAATTTAAATCCGTGCCATAAAACCTGTAAAACAAAGGTTTAAATATTTGGTTAAAAAGCTTTTCATAAATGAAATGCCTTATTCTTTCGATACATAAAAAGTTCTGTGTTCGAATTTCTACATTGCAAAGTATGTTTAGTTTTGAGTTAAACAAATCACATAGTTTTGAGTTGTTCGGAAATTATTCAGTGTTTATTAAATTACATTAATAAGGTATTAATTAAGCAATGCCATTGGTCTATTTCTTGAAGACTCTACTTAGCTCAAAGCATCTCCGCTCGGGTGGAAATATAGCCTCAGTAAGGAACTTGTTGAACCGCCGACGATGAACGAGAAGCGAATGTCGTCGCTAGAAACTAGACCCATGATGGCGAGCAGCGGGAAGCGAGTATGTAGTTGTGATAGTTTTATCCCAGGGCTAAAAGTGAGTGTGCGAGTCAGTGATTATTCGCGTCACTCATTCGCGGTGATAGGTCTGAGCACGCGTTTTGAGGGCCAAATGATAATTGTTGAGCAAGTAGGATACCCGGAATCGTAAAAGGATTCTAACGAAACTACACACATCTAAATCAGCTCCGGCATTTAAAAGTTATCTTACTAATATAATAAATGTGAAAGTTTGTATGATTATATGTTTGTTATTCAATCACGCTAAAACTAATAAGCGGATATGGATGAAATTTGGTGGTCATAAAGTTTATGACCTGGATTGAGACACATGATACTTTTTATCCTGGAAAAATTAACGCGGACGGAGTCGCGGGTGGACGCTAGTAGTGGAATAAAGAAACACACATACATGGACCCTGAAAACATTACACACACAGTCGTGTAAAACATTAAACACTCTTTTTACTCACGATTGCCAGTTGTGTAAAACAGAATTTGAATCGACAAGATGTTTATATTAAAAGAGATTAAAGTTGCGTTTTTCTATTGTAATTATTGCCTAAGAGTATTTATTAATTATTTTACTCTATGAAAGTTATTCTTGTATTATAATGTAAAATTTATTTCAACTCTAACAGTTAGTGGAATTTTGTAGAAAATAAGATTCACCTTTGTAATTCTTCTATAACAATTTACCTTCGAACGTTAAAAAAAAGGATTTTTTTAAGTAAATAAAAAAATACAAGTAAAATCAGAAATTTTAAATCTTGCAAAAGAGTTGTAGTTTAATTCAATTCCATTGAATTCCGTCACTGTACATTTTACATTATATTTTGGGATAAAATTTTTATTTATTTCGTTATAATAGAAATACTGGAAAATACGTTTCCAGTATTAATAGTAAATGTAATTATACAGATTTAAATATAGTTTTAAATGCATAACTATTTGGTATAATCTTAGAGTTAAAGATTGCTCGTAAGCTTTGGTACTAAAGTAAAAAGTAACATTTTACGAAGACCCAAGGTATCCACGACAAAGAAGTTTAAGCATAACAATAGTAAAGTACACAATAGGCAGTTTAATTTCATTACCTGCAAACCAAGTGTATTTTTAGACTGTTATTATTGAGTTTATTTGAACTTCAAAATGAAATGAAAATTTGCGAGTAATTAGGTAATAATATACACTTTTCCGTTACGTCTACCTATCTGACGATAATAAATACCTAGAAAAGATAATAATAATTATAAACATATATTATACTTTTCTATTACATCTATCTACCCGACCATAAATAAAACCAGGAACAATATAGCTTAACTATTATCGCAACAGAATAACTCTGAGTAATAAGCTAGTTGTGAAAATAAGTTATGAATTTATCGGCTTAGCCAAGAAATGTATCGTGACGTGACCATTGCACCTACCCAGTTTAAGCTCGCGTTGATGTCTTTTGCTCTCGATGCGCAAGAGCATACACCGCGGCACCGTTGCTTTCGTTCGTCAATAGTGAATTTTCCCATGTATTGACTAACAGTATTACGACTTCTTAGACCGGATTATGAACTTCAAACATTTTTCTTCGTTCAAATTGATTAATACTAATACTAATATTAAAGCCGTTTAGAGGCGTGCTCTACATTATTTGGTATTTCTATACTAATGTTATGAAGAGGATTTGAAAAATTATTTCACATTTAGAATCCTATATTAACCCTGATGAACATAAGCTATAGAGTATTTTCAAAAAAGTTAGGGTTTTGTATAAACTTCGATAATGTAACCCAAGGTGTCAAAAAAATCCAAGAATATATTTACATATATCGCATATGACTTCTGTCATTGATAATAGAGCAAAAGGATGTATGTATGTACTAAAATTTTATAGAGGACATCAATATCAACAAAAAAGTCCGCGATGCTATTTGTCTATTACAGTTATGTCACAAGTAGAGGTCCCCTACGATTTCACCCGCGTTATTTTAAGTTAAAAGGTTATAGTGAATCAAACTTAAAATCAAGACAGCTTTTATTGTCGCAAAATTTGATATAGAACTTTTAAAGGGGGGAAAATCCATTATAAATGATTTTTGTGTTACTTTAACCGTTTACATAGCGCACGCAACGGAAGCTCACAAATGGAATAGTATTACCGGTTTTTGCAAAATTTCATCGATGCTCCGCTCCTACTGGTCATGGCGTAATATTATATAGGCTTTCTCAATAAATACCCTATCCAACACAAGAATATTTTTTCAAATCGGACCAGTAATTCCTGAGACTAGCGCGTTCAACCAAAAAAACAGGCCAAGTGCGAGTCGCGGCATAAACGGCTGTATCTTTTGATTGCTTTGGCTTAGAAGTTTTATTTCTTCACAGCTCCAAGGGAAAGTAGACCTGAGTATTAGATAGGAATTTCAGTTTGATACCTCTACGCGATCCCGAGAAAAACGGTTTTGACAGACGGACGGACGGCCGGACGGAAAACAAAGTGATCCTATAAGGGTTCCGTTTTTTGCTTTTGAGGTACGGAACCCTAAAACCGAAAAAATCCAGCTTTGTATGTATGTGTGTGTTTGTGTAAATAGTAAGTATATTATAACTATATAATGTTTCGTGTTGAATTGTACAAAAGTAACGCCTGACAACAAAAACTTTACACCGAAGCGAAGCGAGGGCGAACCAATAGTAATTAGATATCTTTATGATTTATTGAAGGCTTTTATTATTTAAATGAAAGTTATAAAACATAACTGTGCATGATTTTAATTGATCAGAAAAGTAAATCAATTTCCGTGGTAAAATTAAAAGAGAGCTTCTTAAAAGACTAATTTATATTGGAGAATTTCTAGCTAACTCGAAGCTTAAACTAATCAGTTCAGCTAACAGAAACGCAATAAGCAAGATTTATATTATGTGAGTTAATAAATTCTTGTACTATACTCGTAGGTATAGTGTTTTAGTACATTTCGCAAGCGTATTTATCAAAATAAATTCTGGTCTTAGTTTATAATATTTTGAATAGTTAGCTTATAAGCTTGTTTGAAATCGGCGTGTTGTTTTTAAACAACTTTCTCGAAGATTTTCTCTTCTTGAAAACTGAAGTTCTTTAAGTTTCAAATAAGAAAAGGACTGTACAAGATCTATAAATCTTTCAAAGAATATACATACAATGACAATTTTAATAAATTATTTGAAAAGTGATTATTTGAATCCCAAGAAGTATAAAGATGTAAGAAGATTTATTTTATATAAATTCAAGTACAATTGAATTTATTTCATTTCGCACAACATAAGGAGCTTTTTTCCAAATATATTTCATGAATTTTGTAACCATCAATAAGTTTTCCTTGAGCATGTTATTAAGGAAAACTTATTGATGCTTACAAAATTCATGAAATATATTTGTATGCATGTAAATACATGCAACATTTATTTACGATACCCTTTCCACGTGAAATGAATTATTTTGCCAATTAACCATTATGTATAAATCAATTTCGACGGTTACTGAGATTTAGTACTTGCATGAAGCACTTAAAGAATCGTGCTAAATCCAAGAGCATTTCTCTCTTTTCCGACGCTTTTTAGTACTTGAAGCGATAAATTTTAAATGACATTTGCCATTCGAATTTCCTTCATAAAGCTGTTGGCTTTAGAATACATTTTACGATAGGCGATATAACTCGAGTTCTCGAAGTTGTTTTTAATAAATCTTAAGGTAAACTCTTCGGTCGGTGTAACTTACCATCGCTGGGTTTGATTTAGACCAATTATAAAGCCATTTCTTGCTTCCAACCACGGTCATTACACAGGCGGACAAACAAAAAAATATCAAACGTAAAACACTTTTAATGCACACACTATAAACATTTCTCACGAAACACTCGGAAGATTTGCTAAAAATGATAAGTTAACACTGTAAGACTGCACTTGTGTGCTGTTTCAATGTTAATTGTAAGATTTGGATGGAGTATCGGATTTTTTACTAGATGGTGGCGTGCGCTTCGTGTTTCGATGCGCGTGAGTCGATCGAGACTGACTGCCGGTTTTCAATGCTGCCAGTTATGGTTGCACAGTTCAATCTAAAGTCACAAAATAAAGCCTCTTTTTGCTACTAAAATGTCGTGGCGTCTTTTGAGATTGTGGAAATCAATAATGATGTAATAAATACTGAAGTGGAAGTAACGAGCGAAGCTGGATTTCATTCAATTTATTGTATCAATACCTTTTTGGACACATAAATTATGATCAAGTTACATATTTTGTTAATTAATTAATCATATGTTATACATTTATTGATTTTTGTTGGTTTTGAATCAAACTGTTTTGAAAGTACGGAATTTCCTTATATTAGACATCAACGCGTGTTACTTTTCACATAGTATAAACTGGCATATTTCGGAGACAGTGAGTTAAGTAAAATAAATACTTTACATAATATAATAGAGAGTTATTACGACTAAAACATGAAATATGAAAAATTTGGAAGAGAAGATTCAGGTACAGATAATATATTCCTAGCATAAAAGTTAAATTCTGTTGAATAACAGAGTCGTCAATTATTTTAAAGTAGCTGACCCAGCGAACTTAACGTACCACCATTTTTATTCGTATTTCTAAAAAAATCTCAAAGACAAACATGACAATAATGAACACAAATAAAAAAAAATGACGATTTCCATGTCTTGGTAGGGTGAAATGTAGGTATATCCGTTTTTTAGGAGGCGCCAACTGTATCGGTTCTTGGTTCAATGAGCAAATATTTTATGTGGTGGGAAAAAGGTATTTGATGCAGCATTTATTTACAGGGGATACAATCGATAATTATAATAATACTTTATAGAGCTACATAAAATAAATTTTCTAAAGACATTTACAGAAATCAAAATTATTATTATAACTAGAATGGAAAGTTTAAAAATATGTTTTTGTTTAGTAATAAGTATCTCTACTTTGTAACCTCAGATTATACCAGCATAGTAGAAATACTACCAAAGTGGCAACACTGTACGGATCGCTATTGTTGAAAAGAGACAGACGCATGGTTTCGCTCTGGCCGGAATGTGACCCGCTATCACGTTGAAGGCCGTATCGCAGCTTGTTGTGGACGCCTCAATGAAAGCTTTCAAGCTCTTCAAATGGAGCTAAATCTGTCGCTATTTCTAATAGTTTTCCGCCAGTTTCACTAATCAAATTTCTGTAAGAGGTAGGACTACCTACTAAAGCTTTGTTGCTGAGAAACTAACAGAACTAGGTAAATTGTTACTTTTTACTGGAGGTTCATTATTGAAACTGGCTATTAATAACCAAAAGATGTTCGATTATATTTTTACAGATTTTATTACAAGTCATTTAAAAGAGTATTTATTATAATAAACTTTTCTCATTCCAGTATAGGTATACAATACTGTTTTTTGTAAGATGTACTTGAATGCGGGCTAGGTATTATTCGATATTAAATCATCTATGACTTAAATTAAATAAAACAGACGAAAATAATTTTATTATAGGAAGTGTATACTCAACTTTCGGTAGAGCCAACCAAAACAAATGGTTTTTTAAAAATGAGTCATTTCTTTATTTACTACTATCTATTTGGTCTGAGTAGAATATTACTATTATCTGTAATAATTTCTTTCTACTCCTTTCAACTGTTTATGCATCACTGAGAGACAAAATTTCGTTTCAATAATGTTAGTGAGAATTAATCTATTAGGGCTTCCAACACGAAACTGCTATGCAATGCGACTCGCAAGAACTTGCAATGCAAATTCGAGCGGCAAAGCTTTGGTTTTCATATGATGCTCCATGGTCTCAATCCCGGTATATTATTACAATTTCACCAAATTGTACCTAGTTGGTTTTGCGTGATCGAGAATCATCCTAACATACAATCATACTTTCACACTTAAAAATAATCGCCTGTCGTACTCGCATGCTCGCTTATAGTCCAGCGACAAAAACACACTCGTTTACCGCTGCTCGCTAACTCGTTTCTAGCTCTATTCGCTTAACGTTTATCGTCGGGGACCAAAAACGCATTATCTCGCATTTCACTGTATTTTAAATGGCAACTTAAACCGTTGGTCCGGTTGCATCTTGTCGTCAGCACCAACCGATAAGCACTGGATCTGGGTGGTGGTCAATGGTCCCATTTTCCTATTTCATCCATTAGTTAGGAGAAGGCCTGTGCTCTAGCAGTGGGGCCAGTAATAAGTTGACTGTGGTGTATCTCAGATTAAAACAAAAAGGGAAGATACGGTACGCTCATACAAGCACCAAATAAAATGTAAGCAACTCTCACACACGCACACGTCTGTAAATAACATACAATCGAGCGACCGAGACAGAACTTTACGCTTCAACGCAAAGCAAGCGAAACGGAGAGACCGCTTCCGAGTCCGCACGGCTGAGCTGTATTGTTATCCTATTCTTGATAACATAATGGCAATAACGTGAATAACTTTCACGACAAACTTTGATTTTAGAGAAATAAAATGATTTTATAGTTTTACGAATGAAAGGTGTTGCCGAGGTATTTATTATTTGATTTTGAACTATTTGTGTTCTTTATAAAAGCATCATAGGCTTTATAACACAGAATATAAGCAATATTGTTATATTGAGTGACATGCAGAGTGTTTGAATGTCCAATTGTGACTAAAGTTAATTGTGGTCGTGCATCACAATTTAAGCGGATCACTTTTGAGCCGCGAGTATCGTATCTTCCCGTTTTGTTTCAATCTAAGTGGTGTATATTAAATCAATCATGATTTGTACACATTTAGAACCTTATGGTACCTACTGGTACTGTGGTATTAAACTGTCCATATTAATTTGACGATTAGGGTTCCGTAAAATTATTTGGTTTCAAGTTTTCGTCGCAACTTACAAAATACATAATGGATCGGCATTTTCAGTATTTGTTCTTTAAATACAGCATAATGGAACATTAAACTTACCAAAATTTCACATTCTTAACTAGCTTAGATTTTGAGAAAAAAATGGTTTAAAAATTATAGCTTTCACGGCCCCCCATCTCTTTTATTTAAAGAATTTAGTATCTGTATCAACCCTCCTTACAAAGTGGTTGTTCCTCTTTCCGCAAATTTTGAAACTCGCAAGGGAATCAAGACCTACAGACAGGGTACTTCCCGTGAACTCAGAATCTTGAAATTTAGTACGAAGCTAACGTGCTAGTACATATACATATATAGAACGGATAGAATAGATAGGACCTCTCGAGTCGGCGACTCCATGAAACCCGGCGTACAAACCACTCGGCCACGGAGGTCAACATTGATTGAGGATTGAGACATAGAGTTCTTTTAATACCGAAAATATGTTAGGTTCCTGTGGGATACTACAGAACTTTAGATATTATAACAGATAGCATGAGCGCAAAAATATACGAGTAATAGGTATCTGTAGTGTTAATCTGGAAGAGCAAACTCCCTTTTTTCCGTGGAATTCCCCGGTATGATTTGAATTTTATTTGAAATTAATGTTCTAAGTTTAAATCATACCATTATTATTATTATTATACCTTTACCAATGTGAATAGTGATTTGGTTCTTACAGAATAGCATTGCTGCTTCACAAAAGAATCCGTTACCATAATAACAAATAGGTATTCCTTGGGTGTGCTGTTGTGGTTTTGTTTGTGGAACATCACGTAACTCCGTTTGAAAGTCAATTTGGTGGAGGTGGGTGAAATAGCTTTGAAAATAATTTTGAAAAAAGATCATTGTTTGTCTTGCATGGAGGAAATTTAAAAATGTGTTTTAAAAGAATATGGACACCCTTCTTCAACACTGATGTAGTCCATTATCATCATTACAACCGAAAACATAAAATTAGGCAAACGGTAGGTTTTCCCTAATTAAGGTCCCTTGACCCATACATAGTTCTTGAGTGGGAGATGTGACCTGAGACCTACTTCGTTCAATTGTGTTAAAGTTTTATTAACAACACTATTGGCCGCCCGCGACTTCTTCCGCTTTAACTTTAGTTTTTGGAGAATCCCTAAAAACCTAACATTTTCCGGCATAAATAGTAACCGATTGAAATTTGAATATTTTTTATCTCTGTTGTGGGGGCTGATCACAGGGACGATCACAAGCCCCGCCTGCCCTGCCTTAAATCCAGCCCTGTTAGTAGCTAAATCCTACTAGGTAAACATAGTAGTGATAGATCTACTCTTAATTATTAAAAGCGCCATCTCTTAGAATCTTCGCAAACTACGTTTTACATAAGCAAAATTAACTTCACTTCTAAAAGAAGTAGGTATGCTGTATTTTAAGTTCGTAAAGCTATTATGATCATCCTATCACATTCTCTTCACTAGCTATTGAAGGTCACTTAAGCAACGGTAAAAAAGAAGGAAAAAATTACACTGGAAAATTAAAGCTGTATGTATGTACATAAACCTCATAAACTTGAAACTCATTTGCTTCAGAATTAAGAGAATTTGCCAAAAAAAAAACGGTTTTTTTTGGCGGGATTTCATCGAGTGTGGTTGGCGTCTTATTTTGATTATTCTTAAATTCGTTCATAGTGGATATTGTGAAATAAAATTGGTGTGATTTTGTGTTACAACTGTCTGCGTAACTGAAGAATTAGTAGAATCATCAAAATATACGCTATTCCGGTCAAGTGGACGTGAGAATTTTATTGTAGTATTGACTACCTCACAGAAGCTTATCGAAAAAACCAGCTCAATACATTTCGTGCCAAACACTTCAAGAAACATTAGAATGCGTCACACCGACATTCTACTGTAAACAGAAAAACAGAATAATTTAACTTAAGACTAGGCTGTATCGGCATTGTTCCCCTTGCCTTCCCGGAAAAGGGAGAACTTAACTAAAAAAAAAAAACGTTGCTTAGCAACTGTCACTTTGTTTTCTTCCATCTCGTTCTTTCGCTAAGCAAAACTCAAACAAAACTTCAAAACAAGGTGAACGCACGTTAATTTAAAATGGCATGATATGGTTTAATAAAAGAGAATGATCAAGGCAGTAAATTGAACGACCAGTAAATAGGTATGACCTTTTATATTTCAATTACGGACAATACCGCACACCCACGCCGGTTTTGCGACGTGGGATAAAACATGAGACTGTTATATTTGGAGTTGCGAGTTCTGGTGTATTGATCTCACAAGGCAACAAGTGATTCATTTTGATGTGTTGAGAACAACAAGGTGCACAATAATTGTTAGTGTTTCAAATTTCTGCCTAATCACGTCGAAAGTCGGTTACAAAGTAAGCTTTATAACATCAAATTTTCCCAATTAGTCTTTTTACTTTTTACATAGAAAATACCCAAGATTAGCTAACTACTTGGGAGTGTTTTTAACATTTCTTAATAATTTATCCGTTTGATTATAACAATGAAATAAGCTTTACTTACAGGTTTAATATAAAAATATTTAGTTTAAAAGTTTACCTTTATTATTTAAAGTACCATATTATTTTCCATATCGTGTTCAAAATTTTGGTCAGGGATGTGGTTTTTCTGCCCTTTTTCTGTGCTTTTTATTGTGTGGTCAGTAAGAGTTTTGCATAATTAAACAGATAATGTCTCGTCCTCGTCCACAATGGCAACTGCAGGCGTTGGCTGCTCAGCGTCGTGACAATGAGCTCCGGCGAGCTGAAGAACTTAGAAAGGTATGTTTTCGTAATTAGTTCATGTACTATAAAATTAATTACTAATTGAAGCAGGTCATGAAATATTTTATAGTAGCCTTTGCCATACTTATAAAAAATACATGAACTTTACAGAGAAATCAATTTGCTTCACAAGTTTGTAATGAAATGAAATGAAGTAGCAAGATAGCATGTTAACACCCTACTATATAGCCAAATATATTGAATTTGCTCAACTTGAATTTATGTCTGCTACAATATGAACCCATTTATATTACAATATTTTTTTCATATTATTTTTTTATAATATACCTTAACATTTTTGACAACCTGCTGTGGTTATTATAAAAATATATTTCTAAACTTTTTTGAGTGAGTCACCAGACATGGGCAGCTTGAAGCAGTTGGGGTGGACTGCTTAAAGCTATGACTACCACGGACTGTTCAAGTAGTTGCACCTGCTCAAGCTATTGATATGAACTGCACAAGCAGTTATCAAGGGCAGCATTAAGCTGTTGACTCTGATTGCTCGAGCAGTACCTTTATATTAATCACTGAACAACTGCCCAAATAGTCTGTGTAAGGCCTCTCTTTGTGTTACTTTTTTGAAAGAAATTACTCTAGTTATAAATTAATAATGTTTCACTTTTTTTCATAACTATAGTAATTTATGTTATTTGTGTAAGTGACCATGAAAGTTTAAAACAACATATATTTTTTATGTCTTGTGTAAAAATAAGTGATATTAATTTTATTTTGCAGATAGCTGATTATTTCGAGGCTCATACAAATAAGTCTCGTCATCATGAACAATGGACTACGGAAGGTTACTACGAGAGAGCTAACAGGGAAGCTGAATTGCTGAGTGAGAAGAAAATCAGAGCTGCGTGAGTGGTATTTCTTTTTAAGTATTTATTATTGATGATCCAACTTTGCTTGTATAGAGAAACATTATGCCAGCACTTCACTTGGATATTTGTGTTTGCTATCTGTAAAATTGACACTAGTCTTTCCTTTTCATTCCTTATAAAGCATGATAAGCACAGACTGTTATCAAATTTACAAATAGCACACGAACAGCCAAGTAAAGTGCCGGCATTATATTGTTAGTACATTGAATTGCTTTGAGTATTGTGTACCATCATTGTTAATGATTTTCACAACTCAAGTATCTGTTTTTCTTAATATGCATGGTAGGCTAATATAATTATTTATAACAATGGCATTGCTTCACTGTTTTTATTTATATGATATTTTCAATACAGCATCATCATCATCATAATCACAGCCTATCAATGTCCCCACTGGAGCTCAGGCCTGGGTGAAATAGGGAGATTGGGCCGTGACACACCAGGTTTGGTGGTTGCTAACAAATGCAGATACAGCCAACACCAACGGCTTAATGTGCCTTCAAAAGCATGGAGGAGCTCGAGATAATAAGTTTTTGGTCACCAATTCAATGACCGACCATTGCGAAAATTTGCTTAACTTCCACGATCGCAGGCCGAACGCGCTAACCACCTGCGCCTTCGAGCTCCTCCATCTAATACCTCATATCTTTATTAGATATCGAAAGGGATAAAGTGAACAATGATATAATTTTCTTTATTAGTCAATTGGAAGAGCGTCGCAAGAAGTTGGAGCTGATGCTGTTTCAGGAGAATATGCAGTACCAACAAGAGTTGAAGACACTTGCACAGCAGCCTAAATTATATAAAAACGGGTAAGTTTCTTTAAAGTAGTTTTAACCAACTTTAAAAAGGAGGCGGTTCTCAATTCGTCGGTATATTTTTTTTATTGTTGTTCGCGCATATCTTAGGCTGGAAACATTGCTCGACCGACGGTCAGCGCTGACCGTCGGTCGGTGTGGCTATATCTATGCAAGTCTATGAATGCGCACAAAGCTACGCTGATGGTACGCGCGTACGGTCGGTCGAGCCGTCGGTCCGGCACGTCGGCGTCGGTCGCGCGTACATCGGTCCACCGACGAGCTATTAGATTGTATGGATGCGTTCAGTGCTTCAGTGACGGAGCGACCGACCATACGCGCGTACGTACATTCAAAGCAAAAATGAATATTGGTATTACTGAAGTGCTGCTTCGTCCGGCAATATGCAATGCGTATGTATTTTATGTGATACTAAAATAAGTGCTTGGCAAGAAGTTTGTAAAGAATTAATTGCGCAAAAAATAGCCTGCACATATTACAGCAAAAGGTTTCATTTTTCTCGTAAACTGTACACACGCGTCGCCGTTCGCCATCAGCGTAGCACCTAGCATTGAATGCATTTTCGCAACCGACGGTCAGCGCTGACGGTCAGGACGTAGGGTCAGGATGTACCGTCGTTCGAGCACTGTTTCCACCCTTAGAGGTGCCTGGACCGATGTGATGATTTTTTTAAAGCGGAACCTTATTTATTCAATTTTGATTTGAATCTGTTTGGTGGTATGGATCCATTATTAATTTTTTTTGAAGTTCTAATGAGTACTTTTGGGTAAAATAATGGAACTTCTCAATTACAAATAGTACTCAATTCGTGTTTGGTTATTTTAAGAGATGTGAAAGAGATAATGCAGTCCACGGGCGCAATCGCCTAACGGTATTGTTAACGCTATAGTTTAAGATTTCATTTTGTTATATCTGACTGCTGAAGGTTTTCAAATACCTCACGCTCATTTTCTATAATATTGTTTTACTAACGCAAAAGGAAAAAAAGAACGCGAGGCAATTGAAGACCTTGGGCGGTCAGAAATAACAAAATAAAATCGTAAGCGATAGCGATAGCCACAGCCATTCCGTAACTAAAGAAATGTATTATTTCTTACTTTTTAGTGGTTCTTACGTTTTGTTTTTATGAACTCGGTTTTTAATTCTAGAGTTGAGATAGTTTCGTCTTTATTGTTACACAAGTATCACATGCAATTTCTCAGTGTATCCGAATAATGTAAATTGGTTACACGCATTAAACTTTTAATTATATTCAAATAGATATGAAATGCATTTTATAGTGTTTTTACCAAAAACATACCTACTTGTGTAATAGAGTTCCACAACTTGATACTTACCTAATTTCTTTGAATAACAAGGCAATTATGATGATTAGTATCAAAATGTTTGATTTGCGTGTTTCCTTCTGGTGTATTGAACTGAATTTCCACTCTTAATGAGATCCAGGCAATGTCATGGCTTAAAGAAAGTGTAAGAGTAATTTCGAGTGTCCGCGTATCGGGGGTGTAACTCAGTGGTAGGTTGTCTGCTTCGCAAGCTGAAAGTCCTGGGTTCAAATCCCAGCTCCTCTATCTTAATATATTTTTGATAATTTAAAAGTAATTATAAATAACTTGCGATTAATACCTGACAAGAAAAAGTGCATTACTAGTTAACCACCAACATATAGGAACTTTGATAATGGTATGGAACAAAGATACCTACTTAAAAGACGGATTCAGTACCCTTAACATGAATGACTTGGTTACGTATTTTGTGACGCTGCTGCTCAAGTTTCCATACAAAATTTGACATTGACATTTCGCACTCGCAAACTATTCGAATTCGATAATGGTTCGTGCTAAGCGTAGATACTGTGTATTTTAATATACTCTGTTCCCGGAATCGAGATGTGGAACGCGTATATCAGCATACAACGGAAGACAAGGATAAAAAATATTTTCAAACAAAGAATAAATATAATATCTGGTTCACACGAATTCCAGCACATGTATGATTTGGAAGTCGGGTGAGGGAAAGGTGAGGTATTAACTTATTTTCATGAATACGTTATCTAAGATCTCCATTATGTGCCCGTCCATTCAGGTCTTACCTTAACAAAGTACCAACATCGACTTTGCAAGAGATCAACCAAGGTATTGTCGAGAAAGAGGAGCAACTCAGAAGGCATGAAGCTGAGCTGAGATTGCATCATGCGTGGCGACTGCGGCAACCGGAGTTACGCGCCGCAACCTCGTACGTCGCCAATGGAAAATGCAAGTCAGCTTGGTAAGTAATTTATAGAAGGTTTCTAAATAAATATTTCCAACACTTACACCAATTAGCCTAGCCCCAAACTAAGCACAGTTAGGCTTGTGTTGCTAGGGTGCTAGGGTAACGGATAGAATACATAAACTGTACATATCATATTTATATAGAAATACATATTAAACATTCATGACTGGAGCATAAATGCTCGTATTCATCATACAAACATCTGCCCCCACCGGGATTCGAACCCGGGACCTCTCGAGTAGGCGCACCTTGAAACCCGGCGTACAAACCACTCGGCCATGGAGGTCGTCAAACTCACCGTCATCTTCATCCTTGACAAATATTTAGATTCAAAATCTCGGGACCTTTAGTAAATTGCAAATGTACGAGTGACCAATTCCAGCAAGCTGACGGTTTGTTGTGAGGTGATTATATATTTTTTTCTTTGAACGCAAAATGAGTGATATCAAAGGAGAAAATTTATTCGTTTTTTATAAATTCTCCTTTATAAGAACAAAATTTTCAAGCTTTCGCAGAGAGACATTTTGTAACTAACAACGAAAACACTATAATTATAACGCAAATGTTATACTGCTCCGATTTCAAGAATTACTGTCATTTTGACAAATAAAAGAGTAAAAAAAATTACCCTTGTTTTTCAACATAATTGTCGTTGAATTAAGATACGGTCAATAGGGTATTTGACAGTATCAAAAATAAAGTGCCAATTGTTAGCATCTGTGTTTAGAATGAATATTGGCAGGGGGGTTTTACTTTTTTTACAAAAAAAAAATACATAATTTTACTAAAAACCCACGAAAAAGATAGTTTTCTTATCTATTATCACGTGACCCAAAACGCTTGGGATTGACGGAGCCTAAAATGACGTCACACGCAAGTAAACTTCCGGTTAAAGTGACATTATTGACGTTTTAATAACAATCGTGTGACGTCACACACTAGTAAGACGCCATATTGTCCAGAAAAACATTTTCGCGGCAACTTGAAAATGGAGTTTTTGATTTGGTTATTTACACCCGCCAATCCCCACTGGGCCCACGTCGTGGGTCATGGCCCAATCGCCCTATTCCAACCATAGGGAAGGCCTGTGCCCCAGCAGTAAGGTTATTTCAAAATTCAAATTTATTAAAATATTACAATGATCTATCTATGTTAATTACAATTGTCACTTAAGAAATATGTTAGTCAACGTTACACATAGAGATACTTATTTAAATAACAATACAGGTCATAATACTTATTTAAATTAACAATACAGGTCATAATTTTGTTCTTTAGTACTATTTATTACTCACTGTACATTAATAGGCTGATGATGATGATGATGAAGAGTATCCTTTCCGCTGATTCGGCCCGAAAACGAAACGAGCCCGCATTGATCCGATCAGGAATGCGCCTAAAGGTCGTTTGCAGTATTTTTATGGAGGTGTACATGTTCCCTTAGGCACACGGTTTTTATTTAAACATCATTAATGAAATCATTATTTTACAGGATGGAACAGATTGTCGAGAAAGAGATGCAGAAGAAAAAGGAAGAAGAAGAAACACGAAAAACGCTACAAGAGCGAGATGAAATGTTGCGCCGACAGATAAAGTTAGAAGAAGAGAGGTTAAAGGAAAAGGAGCTACAAATGAAGGTATAGAGTGTTTTAACGCTGCGTGATGTGTTAGTTACAAAACATTTTATTATTATTTGCTAATGCCAATACATTATTTCTAATTTGTTTTTTTTGTTTAACATTAAGATTCGGATATCATATTAAGCTTATCACCCATTACTCTGATTTAATGTGGATTCGTAGACAGGAGCTTTGACGTAGCTTAGTCTTAGTCTTTTAAGTACGTCGGGCTGTTTCCGCAACTCGACACCCTGTGCCTATTTCGCGTAGGGATTGGCATCAGTCCTGCCATCCCAGCTCCTCTAGAAAGCTCAGCAGTCCCCGGATGTTGCTGCAGGCCTCTACTCTTGTCCTCGGGCTTCCCATTAGAAATTCCTTTGTCTTGCAACGCCCCTGCACACCAGTAGTACATGGGCGCTCGTCTCCTCCTTCAGGCATGCTCTGCACTCTGTGCAGCTGTCAGAAATACCTACATTACTAAGGTGTTCGTTGGAGTAGCCGTGACCCGTGAGTATACCCACGATTTGTTTTAGGGCTTGTCTAGGTAGTCTGGTTAACTTACGTGTTAGCTGCAAGTTTACCTTAGGAACGGCTTCCTTAGCTTGCCTGCAGTCCGTGAGTTTTGCCCAGTTTTTGTCGTGTCTTTGACGTAGCCTTCCGAAGCACGTAAAAGCCCGAGATAATTTGAAATTAGCTTTACTTCAACGATTGTATACCAAACGTGCTAGCCACTGCACCATCAAACTCGTCGAATAGTGAGTACTTCAGTGAAATTCTTACCTCAACAAACTATATGTATTTCCATTCCAGGAGCTCAGAGAAAGTTTGGAAGGGCAGATAGCAGAGCTGAGTGAAAAAGAAACAGCGGTAAAAAAATTGCGGAAGATGGAGGAAAAAGAAAGACTCATATTAGACGAGCTACAGTTTATTGCGAGTGAAAGAGAGAAAGAACACGCTCGGCTAATAGCAGAGAGAGACGCAACCATTATAAATATGGGCCTCCATAAGTATAAGCTTAAGAAAAAAGTGATTTCTGTACTGAAGGAGATAGAATTGGATTTGGAAATGTTAGCGAAGATACGAACAGCGATTGTAAAGGTTGGTTTATGTTTAACTTGATCTGGGTCTCCAGCGCGTGTTTTGCCCTACACAATTAAGAAAAACATCAATCAACATTCAACAAAGTCGTGTACACAAAACTTTGTTTCACTACACATATTTGTTTGCATCAACAATGTTTTTGCTTTCCGAGCCCGGGCGTGGGTCGAGGGGCAGGGTATTATTTCATGGGCCATTTTTTTAACAATCTCTAGTGGAGGCTGCGTTCCTAACCTACGCTGTGAGTGCGATTTCTCATTGTAACGTTTGAATTTTGACAAAATATATGAAACTCTGGAGGAGCTCGATGGCGCAAATGCTTAGTGCGTTCAGCTGCGATCGTTGAAGTTAAGCAACTTTCGCAGTGGTCTGTCATTGGATGGGTGACCAAAAGGTCACTCATCCAATGACAGACCACTGATGATGATTTATTATCTCTTTTGATTTATTATCTGAAATAGGAATCATGATTTATTATCTCGAGCTCCTCCGTGCTTCGGAAGGCACGTTAAGCCGTTGGTCCCGACTGCATCTGCAGTGGTCAGCACCCACCATTAATAGGCTGATGATGATGATACGAAACTCTTGTCAAATTTGATATTTGTTGTACCTGGATCGTAGGTTTGGAACGCAGCCCTGTGTATTTTTGTACTCTTAGCTTATCTGTACCCTTAGCCCGAACCAATATCAATTATCGAAAAGATGAATTCGATCTCGATACGTGTCAAATGATAAGAGTTTTGTATGTAAATTTAAACAGCTTCACAGCGGACGTAACGGCCATTAAAAATCTGCCATACAAAATATGTTTTTAAAATGTCCAATGCCGCGAAGAAAATTTGTACGTTATTCAACTGACTTCATCTATTTGTACTCATAAACATCTAACTCACAGATACTACTTACCGACGGCAGCGCGGCTGGTGGCTGAAAAATGAACTATAAATTCTACAAAATTTCAGGGACAGGCGGGCTAATGCTTTAGCACGTAGCGATCGTTCTCCTTTTCCCTAACCTCCATGGGCAGGGTATTATTTCATCGGCCATTATTTAAACCACTCGCTACGTTCCGAGTGCAACTGTTCATTGTAACGTATGATTTTCGTCAAAATATATGAAACTTTTGTCTAATTTGATATTGGTTGCACCTGGATCGTAGGTTTGGAACGTAGCCATGTGTATTTTATGTACTCTGTGTTTATCTGTACTCTTAGCCCGAACCAATATCAAATTCGAATACATGAATTCGATCTCGATACGGATCAAATGACAATAAGTTTTGTATGTCAATTTTAACAGCGTCACAACGGACGGCCGTTAGCCATTAAAAATCTTCCATACAAAACTTGGCATTTAACGTGTATTGATTGAGCGATCGAATTCAACTATTTGAATTCTGTAATGGTTCGTGCTAAGGATACTGAAAGACTGAGACCAGAACCGTCTGGTTTTAGGACTAACTTATGCATGGATCCAGTTTGGCTTTCTTATATGGTCACTCCCGACGGGTACATTTTCTAAAAAAATCATTATTAAATATTTCTTTTAGGATATTGAAAATGAACATGAAAAGTCAGCACATTCTAAACGTATCCTTGATACGGCATTGCACGAGCTAGAAGAGTACAGAGAGAAGGAGCGACAAAGACAGAAGAATATCGAGGTCATGTACGACGGAGAAGCGAGGCAGATCAACGATAAACAAGACAAGGTAGAAATTAATATTTTTATATATATTTTTTTCTTTTACAATTTGCTGATTTGTTGTTCACACAGAATCAAGTAATGTTGATATTACTGTTCAGGGGGCGTTCAAGTATTACGTAACGTAATTTAGGGGGGCGGGAGGAGAGTTCGATCAACGCGTTACGTTCATCATCATCAGTCTATTAATGTCCCAATGCTGGAGCACAGACCTTCCCTATGGATGGAATAGGGAGATTGGGCCATGACCCACCACGCGGGCCCAGTGCGAAGTGGCGGGTGCTAACGACTGCAGATGCAGCCGGGACCAACGGCTTAACGTGCCTTCCGAAGCACGGAGGAACTCGAGATAGTAAATTTTTGGTCACCCATCCACTGACCGACCACTGCGAAAGTTGCTCAACTTCAACGATCGCAGCCGAACGCGTTAACCACTCGCGCCATCGAGCTCCTCTACGTGTTACGTAACATTGTTTTTTATTTAAATAAATAAATACTAGGGTATTAAAATCTCCCAAGTTGGCAAAACTTTTCGTTTATGGTTTGCCAAAGTTTAAAAATTCCATTGCCAAAGCTTAAAGTATACATGTTATTTTATTAAAAGAGATTATAAGTTAAAAAAGAAGCTAAAATAGGAAAATGCACGAGAAGTACAGTGGTGGATGAAGCCAAAAAATTACAGAGCTGAGTCAGAAAAACGATGTAATTAAATTTTACATTAAATAAAACTAGTTTTAACGGGTTAATGCACGAAATTTATTTATTTATTGATGTTTCGTAGCCTTTTCAGGTCTGCATCGTCAGAATAATGATTTTTTATTTACTTTGTCGTGCTACCTGTTAAATGTTTGATTCTACTAAGAAAAGAGTTTATTAGGACTTTGAGCCCATTTAATATATTTAAAACTGAAGCAAATGTTTATTAAATTATGTGTGATTATTTATTAAATATTTGCATGTATTGCGAATTAGAAATTGATTGTTTTATTATTGATTACTAGCGCAAACGCAATTAAAAACGTAATAACAAAAGTAATTTAGCGACTTTCCGGTAATAGGGATGATGACTAATTTTTTTTCTTCGTTTATCAGGTAGATTATCAAAGAGAATTGAACACGTATTTTTTCTTTTTTCACATAATATAGACATTGCAGAGATATATTAATTTGAAAAGTCGCATGACGTCACGTTTTGGTACAATTTTCACTTAAAAGTGACGACACGAGCCCCTACTCCCAAACTTTGACGCGCAATTACTTTGTCATTTTTTGGTTGATTGCCCAAAGAAAAAATACATGTCCTTTATTTTTTGATCATGTAACTGACGGACTAAATAGAATTTCGTTTACTGTACCCCGCCATCACCCCTAGTGTAAACACTCACATAGAGACATTTCAGGTAATATTACAGGATATATTTTATAGGGTGATCGTTATAATCTATGTTGTTTTTTACTATTTTATTTTCTAGTTATGGGCGAAAGAACGTGAGGCGCGGTCAGTACTGATGAAGGAAGTGATATCGACTTTACGAAGGCAGCTCGAGGAGAAAATCGATGCAAACAGAATGCAACAAAAGGCCAACGTGCTAGAACGGGAGAAGATTATAGATCAGATGGACAGCTTCCACCAGGAGGTCAGGAGTAAGGAGAGGGAAACTCAGGTAATTCCTACTAATATTATAAATGTCAAAGTTTGTGTGTTTGTTACTTAATCAGGCAAAAAGTATTAAATGGATTTTGATGAAATTAGGTATGCACATAGTTTATGACCTGGATTACGACATGGGATACTTTTGATCCCGGAGTAATTTATGGTTCCTGTGGAATTCTCAAAAAATTAAGATACAACGAAATCGCGGCCTGCCGCTAATGGATTTATAAATTTAGCCCTAGGTTATAATGGTGTATGTATACATGCTAGTAGGCACACTTATGCATACCACTACCCCAAACACGAACAATTAGCGAGAAAGTATTCGTATCGCCATAGTCATAGTTTATATGGCAACTAAGCAGCGTCCCTACCGGGCGTAAGTAAAAACTAGCTTTTTCCATAGTAACATTGACGATGGCGATACGAATACTTTCTCGCTAGTTTTTCGTTCTTGAGGTACAGTACCCTTAGCACGAACCATTATCGAATTCGAATAGTTTGCGAGTACTAAATTTCAATGTCAAATTTTGTATGGAAACTTGAACAGCAGCGCCATAACGTACGAAGCCGAGAACGCTTCACGATCAGAAGGTCTAAATAGCAATACGTCCAACAAAGCGAAACGTCTACTAAGCAGTAAGTCTGATTAGCAGAATGTCCATGCAGCAAAATGTCCAACTCTCATATGGGCTGTATAGCAGAACGTCTATTTAGCAAATCGTCCTTTTTAAAATGTGTACACTCATGACAGAAAGTAAATAAGCGTCAATGTGAATAAAGGTGAGCGAGGCTATAAAGGATGGAAATGAAACAACGTGTTTAAGATCCAGAGCATACGAAAGCTGCCTACGCGATCGCGGTTAGGAAGCTACTGGAAGGCGGGAGTGGCCCCGGTTCGCACGTAGGAACACGAAGTGTATCTACCCGTTTATTTTAATAAAATCGTAGTAGGCAGCTTACCGCATTTAAAATATATTTATAAAAAACAAACAAATAACAGTGGAATGCATGAACGTTATTTATATGTATTTAACTATTTGTATATATATAGCTCGATGGCGCAAGTGGTTAGCGCGTTCGGCTGCGATCGTTGAAGTTAAGCAACTTTCACAATGGTCGGTGATTGGATGGGTGACCAAAAATTTACTATCTCGAGTTCCTCCGTGCTTCGGAAGGCACGTTAAGCCGTTGGTCCCGGCTGCATCTGCAGTCGTTAGCACCCACCAATCCGTACTGGGCCCGCGTGGTGGGTCATGGCCCAATCTCCCTATTCCATCCATAGGGAAGGCCTGTGCCCCAGCAGTGGGGACATTAATAGGCTGATGATGATGATATATATATTATATATATAAAGGTAAATAAACTATTTTATGTATGTGGGTCAATCAACTATTCCTTGCTCGATGTTACCCTTTTTCTGTCCCATAAGCATAATACAAAATCTACCAAAAAATATGCGCTAAAATCATGATTTATGTATTCCTAGAAACATTTACAAACATATAATCAAAGAAATATTAAGTTTTGGTTCAAAGTAAACAACAATCTTTTATGGTTGTCCTAAAGACAAATCGATCATTTCGTGATATCACGGAATGTCCTCCGGAAACAGGTCATCAAAACTATTTCCATTACGAAAAAAAACTCTATGAAACAATTCTCAGTAATTGAAAAAAATCACTTTCAAGTATGTACTCTGTTAATAAAACATATTGCTATTTATTAAGGTTAATAAAAATTACCAAACTATTTTATTTTACTTGTGTCCCCAGAAATGTTTGCTTAGCTAACGTCACCTGGACCACCGCTAATTTAGTATGCGAAAAAAACATAGATGGCGGCTAAGTACGTTAGCAACAAGGCCGTCTCTCTAAGAAGATGTCGCGTCCTACCGCCATTTTTATTTCAACTAAGGCGTGGCGTCAGTCGGGCGAGTTCCGTAAGTGGAAGTGCGTGTTCTTATTGTCGTTCCAGCGGACAACCGTCAGAATTCCATAAGTACTCAATATTTAACAATTAACTATATTGTACTAGATGTTGTGTCAGCTAGATTTTACTGTGAGAGTAAGAAAAGAGGCAATAAAACGTTTTTTTTTTTTTTTTTATTTATTTATTAAGGGATAAAAAACGGTTACAATATGTGTTTTATGACTAAAGACTATTATATGTGGTACCATGGTACCATAAAATCTAAGGTAATATTGTAACTCACAATATTATCCACAAATTATTAAATAAAAATAGTGCCTTGCTGATGTTACATTCAGTGTGTGTAAACTTAACACTGTTATAATCCTTATGCTTAGCTATAATTTTAACAAACAAAAAGTACCTAATTTAACATTTTTCATAAACAAATTGGTAATATTTTATATATATTTTATCACTACATCAAAAATAAGAAATAACTACACAACAAGCGAGTTTAATACATATAAATAAATATAGATGCTATGTCTCTTTATGCAATATTTTAATAACATCATACCTAAATTTATATTTAGTTTTTGAAAATATATCCACTTCTGCAAACAAAGTATTGTAAGTTTCAGCCATTCTATGTAGAGGGCAACGTAGCCCTGTATTTGTTCTACAAATTTTAGTGGCAAATAATTTAATATTTTTGAGCTTGCGGATGTTAACAGTTCGAGGCACTTTGTAACTTATTTTATTTGTAATATCACTACAATCAAATTCGTTATTAACAATGCCATGCAATACTATAACTTCTAGATATTTGCGTCTATCCTCTAGAGTCATCATATTATATTTGCTTAGCAACTGCGGATATGACAAATAACGCCGAAAACACCTGTAATGCATAGCACGTAGATATTTACGTTGAACTCTCTCGATCTCCTCCTTGTATTTGTTGTAAAAGGGGTTCCAAATAGTTACAGCGTATTCAAGTTGTGAACGTATCAGCGCTTTGTATAAGCTCAGATAGGTTGATACACGTTTAAATTCCTTCGTGGACTATTAGTTAGTTAGTTATTATTTAATAGGAAGCCAAAAGTTTATAAAACGTCTTACGGACAACCAGTCACTAGGACAACGAAATTGGTGGTCCGTAGGACATTTTGGTTGTCTTTAGGACAAATAATATGATTTTGATAATAAACATCTATAAATTAAATATTTATTCGTGCATTGGTTGTGACTATTGCTTCTACACCAAGAGGTCAGTGGGTTTGAATCCCGCACAGTAACTTTTGTGTTAATGAACATGTATCTGAGTTCATCAGATGTTAAGTACCCATAGTATAGTACAAGCTTCGGCTTAGTTTGAGACTAGATGCCTCGGTGTGGTCTTGAATGCCATGTGCTGAAAATTTTTTTTGAAAATGGGATTGTCGGAGAAAGAAAAATCGAGACGATACAGAGAGAGGCTTAAAGCGTGCCCATAAAAATTAGCTGAAAGGAAGAGATAGAACTGAGAAAGCTATCATAAACACAAAAAGTTAATTTCAAGTATGCAGCCTGAGGAGCAAAAGAATGCAGAATTAATTGCGTAAACAGGAGCAGAGGAAATGAATGCAAGTAGTACGAGATGTATTTTTCAATACACCAGCAAGTTCTCCGAATATTTTGGAGGAAAGGTAGGAAAACCTAAAAAAATTGGAGGAATTTGATATACCGCAAGAACAACAAGCAGTCACACCGCCTCCTTCTCCTGCTGTTACGTTGGATCCTGAATGTAAAGAAAGAGGAAGAAAAAAAAAGGCAGAGATAGATCTAATTGTAAAGAGAAAATTTGAAACTACGAATTGAAGCAAAGATGTGGAAGAAAAAATACGAAAAATTTAAAAAGAGAGCTAATCATAAGAAGAAAGAATTAGTTCAGGTGAAAGAGAATTTAAAACCTAAAGAGAATAATCCTAAGGTAGATTGTGAGGTAGTCTATAAATATAATATATTGACTAATGCTATCAAACAAAAATACAAGAAAACTAAAGACAGATGAGCGAAAACTGAGTGGAAGAATATGTTTGATAACATGGATACAGCGCAAAAAAATAAAATCATGAGAGAGCTTAGATTTAAAATATCTAGTCAGGGCAAAAACAACAACGCGCCATGGACATACAGAACTCTCAAAAAAAGGAATACCGCTGGTAAAAAAGAAACTGTCACTAAAGGCAAAATGAAGATGCAAAAACGGTTTCTTTTGGAGTCTATGAAAAATCTTTTTAAAGCATTTAAGTCTGAAAATCCAGGAATAAAAAGTACTTATTTCAATTTAACAAAATAAAGACCGTTCTACGTCGTAAGACTATAAGAATTTGAATATTTTTTTTTACCTTTATTTGTATTTTTTTTATTATTTAAAAATAAAACACTAAAATATGCTTTTTAGGTCGAAGTATTTCTTTTGGACAACTGTTAATGTCCATTGGGCAACCAAGTTGTCCCCACATTGAAAATCAGTTCTTATTTGATTTTTTGGCTTTAAATTATAAAATTATTTAATGTTTATTAGAAGGATAGAAAGTACAAATTAAACTAAACGGTCCGTGGTATAATGTTGCATTTATTACCATTATTTTCAGTTTTATAGGAAAGTTTCATTACGCAAAAAAGATCCCCTGGACAACGGATCATTAGTAGTAGAATATTAAATAAATTATACGTTATTTTATTTAAACGAATATTAAAATGTAGAGACAATGTTACAATATAATAAAAAAATGGATTTTCTTTAATTATTATTGTTAGTTGAGTTATTTAAAAAATCTATATTGTTAGTGGTCCAAGGGACGGATTTTGCTGAGGTTGGTGGATATTTTTCCTCTAAATTTTTGTAATTTAAGAAAACGTCATTGCCCGTTACCGGACCATAAAAATTATTAAATCATCTATTATATGAAATTTAAAAAAGTAACTCTTTACGAAAAAATTTAAAAAACACTATTTTGGGCAATGTAGCAATAAAAAGTTGATCGACCCATGTATATTTTTTCTAGAATTTTGTTTTTGTTTTATATATAGTAGGTACTGAGGAGCTCT